AATCCAAATTGATTTGCAGGTAAAATATGATTTTATTCCACAAAAACTCTAGTCTTTGTTTTAATAACTGCTCAAAGATCTTTACAATACAAGATGTAAGTACGATTGGACGATATATGTTTGGATGTTGGGCTTATCTGGCTTTAAAATGAGGACTATACATACGGACTTCGGCTCGGCTATATTTTTATCATCCACAAACTATTCAGATTGGAGAAGAAAATTTGAAGACTATTGTCGCTGAGTCTTTTGAGCATGAAATAGGGGATGCCAACCAGTCAAAATGCTGTATCCTTTCTGGGGCAAATAGCAGACCACAACTATTGAAATAAAAATGGTTTAATCAGATAGTTATTTGAAGGAATTCTGACAAAACAATAATTTTGTATTATAATTAAGTTTTGCAAAATAAATTAATACAAAATTATTATTATGTAATTAATCGGCCGGAATAAATAATCGGTCAGCATAAAAATACAGGGTTGTAAATAAAATGCGTGTCACCGTTCAGGGGCTGATTCTATTCATTATTATCAACAACTTTTTCTATGGGGCCAACTTCGTAAAATATAAAAATAAATTCTCTCCCATACTAATTATCGATCAGCTGATGGCATTTTGTATGGGAAAGAATTTATATTATTGATCTGCAAAATAACAAAAATCCAAAGCCGGCTACAGAATGCTGTATTGGCCTGTTTAAATAGTTTCCTAGCCGATCAAAATACAATTATTTTTTTAGAGTCCACCACAAAGTGATTCCCAGCAAGATTAAACTTTTAAATCTACTATAGAAGCCGTAGAGACATCTAGCTATGAAGAACTTTTTCCGATAAAACATCACAAAAATGCTGATTCTGTGGAAATTACAATCTTTGAAACCACTGAAAATTCAAACACACACATGGCGGTAAAAAAAGATAATTTCGAAACAAGAGGACAAATAGTAATTGGAGACCAAAAACGTGTCATCATTAAACAAGCAAACTCTATAATTGTTACGAAAACAGGACGTAAATCAGCAAATAATAATAATTCAATATGCCCAAGAGGAAACAAGTTAGCAAAAGAAACAATTTATGTCAGCCCCAGTACCAGAAAAACGCATCACATATTACAGAATGTTGCATTTTCCTCTTCTTATACTCAAAGACAACTACTTCAAAAAAAAACAAAAATCGTTCTACTCACTGTTCACACTCATTAGACTATGTTCATTTAAGTCAGTTACTCATTTACACTGGAGAATTATTTACAATGGAGTATACAAACTCGGTTAAATTAAATTATATGGTCTCCATTTTATACCTAGAACTCGTTCCAAACTGATTTCAGTGTCATCACTAAGTACCTTTGCTCCAGATGTTGATAATTTGTCTGCAAGTAAATGATGTAAAATCTTTTTAGAATGGCTCATAAAGCTAATAATATTAAAACCACCAGCTGCGTGAATTTTGATGACATCCTCTACTAATAGTTTACCTTGACTTATGGAGTCAATAGAGATGATCAAGTTATCCATATAATGATGATGGACTATGGCCTTGACAACAGCAGGATGAATCTCAGAGAACCTAAGAACATTCGCGTTCTGCACATACTGTGCTGAGGATGGTGAACTTACTGCTCCAAAGATCATCACGTTCATCTAGTACTCGTCGTCTTCCCACAAAAAACTACTTCGATTATGAGTACCTTGTGAAACATCTCTCGGATGTCTCCTATCACAGCATACCGATGACATCTGAATTATAACAACATACCAGGGGCTGCGGTCTTGACATTAATAGTGATACGATCGCAAAGTTTCAAATGTCAAATATAACGAAAATCATTGCTTGCGGTAACGATCGTTACTTGAAATGCGAGTCTCTATTACCGAGTTACCGAGTAAAATCGTAATCTATTCAGACGATAACTTATCGAAAATCTGTATTCATAGTGCAGTTCAAGTTCAGTTTTCTAAAGGAGAAAATGTTGCCTCAGAAAAAAGTATTTTAAATCTAAGGAAATCAGAACAACGTTTTTTGTTTTTAAGTAAAAATATATAAAAAATGTTTACTACAAAATGATTGCTTTTTATTTATTTTACAAGTATAATTTATTATTAAATGTGTTAAATCAATTCGATTATTATTGGAACTTAAAATTTGTTTCCTTACGACATCTTGCTGTCATCAATATGTCAAAATATTATTGTTTATCACGTTATTCTATTTTATCACATAATTTATTGAAGTAATTTACTGTAAGTCATGGTGGGGGATTTAGATTCGGATCGCATGTGCAACAAGCTATAATGATACACGAACTACTTTCACACCTTGTTTTATAAAAATCGCCATCTTTTTTCATATCTTATCTTTTCATTCACACACACCTTACCTCTCTTTCATCCATCGTCTTACGTTCCATTTCCCACATTTATATTTATGTACGTATAACTTATGTTGTTTTAGGATGAAGATAATGCCTCTGACAGTTTTTTATCCACATGTAGTGAAAATGACAGCTTTTTAAGTATCACAAGACTTACTGCCTCTACTTCAAGATTTTTTACATTTCTTAAGTATGGTTTTTCTTAAACTTGTTATATATGGATCTGACTGAAAAGCATTTTAAAGACATCTTCATTTGTTGCAGACCGGGAACATTTTCTGGCATGATGAAGTCGCATGTTTCTGTAGTCTTTGTTGCGAGACTCTTGTGCGTCTTCCGACAGATGTCCAATAGGAAGCACTGCAAATTGTTTGATAACGTTTTCTCCGTGTATGAGTATTTATGAACGGAGGACAGCATATAATACCAATCATAATTACTCACATATATTCTTGCAGTTTCTATTGCATATACTCCAAACTTTTTAGAATCAATCATCTTTCCAGAAGATAGAACTTGTAAGATAATATACAGGCGTTTAATAAATGTTTCGTCTACACCCGTCATTTCCGCCTGGTCTAAGTTATTTCACATATTACGGAGGTCAAATTTCTTTTGAGTGTCAGCGTTTCTTAATTCTTCTACAAGATGAGCTTCTTCGTACTCACCTAAGGCCCGTAGTACCTGCACAAAAGCGTTTTTTATATGCTTGAAGCCATATTCTTGGAGTAGAAGAGTGTTTTTCCTCTTCTTGGTAGATTCTGATGCGTTGTGAGACTCATTCAGTTCATGTTTCTCTGATGTATAGAATAATTTCAATGTTGTCCATATAAATGCCCAAAGCTCATTTTTCTGATATGCTGGCTAATTTTGACAGTAAGAACATTCATGCCATACTTGTTTCACAATCATGGCTTTAAGCCATGTCTTCCTTCTACTCGTAAAACGAAGAAGTTCACGGTGCGAGATAAAAATAAAATATGTCACAGCAATGAATCAAGCATGGATACAGAGTGTAAAATCAAACAAGACATAGAAAACTTTTTCGAAGACAACTGCAATACTACAATATCTCCTGATTAAAAAGAATTTATAACACGAAATGGACCAAGAAAACAGAAGCGCTATTTATCAGACATTAACTAACCTCCATAAAAAGTTCATGTACAATGGCGGACAGGTCCGCTCTTTCACCCATAAGGCCAATATCTCTTGCGCTTAAGTTAACGTAAAAATCTCACCCGCTTCATCAATGGGACGTCTGTCTCGTTTGCGCACGTTACAATATGTTGTCTGTCGCATATTGCTGCGACGTTGCCAGCGCGGACTAGACCGGCCGTTGCTAAGTTATGATTTTTCGTGTATTGTTAAATAATGAAAATTCTCGAAGATTCATTTTTTGTATACGCTGCTCTGATGGCGATTTTTATTACTTTTATAATTATTGAGTAAATTGTGGATTTTATAAAAAAAATAATTATATATTATTAACGAAAGATGGATAAAAATGCAATAAATTCATGTTAATTTATTTATTATTCTTTATACAAAATGCTTAAAAAATCCACTTGGTCCCTGGCACCCTGAGATGGGACTCGAACCCATGACCTTCTGTAATCCGGGCGATATTTGTATTAAGAATAATTTTCAGTATAGCATTGTGAATGCGAAATTAATCAAATATAATAATTTACTTATTATATATAATAGTTTTATATACTGAGAAAAACAAATCAATTGTATTAAAAATAAAGTGTTATAAAGTGTGTGTAAAATACATAATACAAAATTGATTAGTCGATTCCATATGAAACCATTTTTTAAGTTTCACAGTTTTATGTAACGCAATACTTAAATAAAAAAATATTCAATTCAAAAACCAAATCCCCAACAATTTTTTATTTTAATAATATAAGTTCAATTGTACAATTCTCAATGTTAAAAAATAATAAGGGGTATTTATTGTATTAATTTGAATTTACTATTAATCAAGGTTGGAAAAAATCATGATTATTTAAAAAAATCGAATAAAGTACGCTTTTTTGAAAAAAATCTAATTAATCACGATTTTTTCGTTTAATTATTTTTTTAACTATATTTTTGCGCAAAACAGAACGCGCCTCCAAGAGACTACGCGGACACAGCGCGGGGATTTCCTTTTTGTCTGACAAATGAATGCCAAGCAAAAGGAAAATCCCCGCCACTGCAAATCCTAAGATTTCACAAACGTGTTAAAATAACACACATAAAATGTGTTCAATGTTGAATGTCCATGAACCAACTATACATGATTTGTAGACAATTTTTACACGTTTTATAGTGTGTGAAAAATCTATAGTTTGTTTACGGCGTTTAACATTGAAAAGGCTTAGCGTGTTAAAAGTGTCTACAAGAATAACACACTTGGATTTACAGTGCGTGTAGTGTTTTGTTTATTTCGCTTGAAATTACTTTCGTTCTAACAAGCATTCATTATAAATAAAATGATATGGGATGGGATGGGATGATGGGATAATAGAGATGGGATTTGGGCACATTTCACAGAAATAAGCACTACCAAAACTGGCTGTCGGGTTATATGCAACAAATGTAAAAAATAAATTCAAGGTCTGGTTGCAAGGATGAAAATACATTATGAAAAGTGCAAAAATAATATTCCGGAATCTCGTGACGACGTTGAAGTTGTAGGTAAGTTATTAAAGTTATTATTTACAAAACAAATTAAAAAATACTAACTGGTTTTCTATATGGTTTTGGTGATCGTACTCAGTGGACAACAATATGATTAGTGAAAATTTCAACTGCTTGATGTCTGTAGACATGAAAGACTGTAGACATGATTGTTTTAATGGTACTAACTGTGTAACAAATAACAACATCATAAGTAAAATATATTTATTTATTTTTCAGAATTGGCTTCACTTTCCGAACCTAGCTCATCTGCAAGTTCTTCGGCAAAAGGCGACGATTGCGCGGAACCGTCTCTTAAAAAAAAGAAACTATCTGCAAACTTAAGCTCCTTTATAGTAACAACGCCAAAATCTACAAAAGAAACAACAGACCGACAAATAGCAAAGGCCATGTTTGCTACAAACTGTAGCTTCAGAAGTATTGAACATCGAGAAGTAAAAAAGCCATTTCATTATTACGCCCAGGGTATATCCCACCATCTCGGAAGGGTATATCAGGCAAATTATTGGATCAAATATATCTTGAAGAAAAAGAACGGTGTTTCTCTAATCTATCTGGTAGTTATGTGAATATGTCTATAGATGGGTGGTCTAACGATCACAATGTTGAACTTACTTTCCAAAGATTTAGAAATAAGCAGTATAAAGGAGCATGTTGTGTAAATAATAAAATACTTCCGGATAAGGAGGAAAAGCATTAGTGCTGCCATCAGATATTCGTTGCAATACTGTAACTGATTGCTTCGAAGTCTTTGTGTCTGAGTGGCAAAAGCTACTAAAAATATGTGAAGAGAACAGGGAAGTCATAGATCCTGTTATTAGAGCAAAAGTTGAAAATATGGTCGTAAAGAGGTCAGTGGAAGATTATCTAATAATTTTGAAGCCAATATCTGTTACATTGGATACTTTACAAAGAAATAATGCAAATTTGTCTACTGCTGTAACGGCTTGGAAGAAGCTTGGAGCTAAATTTGAAGAAACTGATTTAAATAGTAGCCAAATGTCGAAGTTTCGAAAGAGATATAAGCAAGCAACCCAAGTTACAAAATAGTGTCATATAAATAGTATAATAACGTTTTTGATTTAACTTACAGCCATTTGAAAATGGTTTTATAATAGTTTTTTATACGTAAATGTAACGCTGGTTTGGGCGCAGATTATATAACATTTAAATCGTGTAAGGGTCATTTTGCAGTCGCGTCAGTGACAATTACGTTTGTCACTGACACATTAAAATCACATAGACGTTGTAAACTTAACTAGTAAGGTTTGTAATAGTTTTTTAGTAATACGCTTACATGGCTATATCATCGTATAGACGTGGTCGCGCGGTCAGTGGGGCATAAGTTGGACAATTTGTCGTGACAGTCTACTGTGTTGTGATAAAACTTATAAAAAGGTAAGTCAAATATTGTAACAATAATTATTATTTATTAATTTAATGTAAAGAAAGCTTATGGTGGCCGAAGATAGAGAGCAGTGACTTATACTTGGGTATTTAAAATTATCGACGATATTATGGTTATGTTTGTTGATATTTTAATGGGCCTTCGTAATGTTTGAGTTTCAATATTGTTTATAAAAATAAAATACATTAATTGTCATCATAGTTTCTGCCATATTGCTAATAGACATTGGGCGACTGTATTTCGACATGTATATAACTAATTGGTCTTATACACGGTTTTATACGATTTATGGCGTCCACTACGACAGTTGCAATAGAGTTCCCTTGGAAAATAGAAAAACCTTTGCGTATAGTCATGGAACTACTCCTGTTTTTTACAGGAACATCATGGTGATATATTTTGACTTTGATAAGTTTTTAACAAAGACAGACTTCAAGTTACTCAAATATTTAAAATGGCCATGGGATATCACGCATTTTCAGTTATCACAGAAGTGCTATGGATGTAATCATCTTACTGGCTCGACATTAAAACATTTTATCGTCTATAATAATAGAAGTATAGCTAAATTATTAAACTATGATTTCTTTTGGTGCCAAAACTGTAAGAAGTTTGCCATATATGATCATTATCCTGAGGAGGAATGTTACTGCAACTGTTAAAGTTTAATTTGTTTTTTTTATATAATATTCATCACTTTGTAAGGTTAGTTTACTCAATTATACCTATGTATTTACCTACATAACATTCCAATCGTTATCACTGAGTCAGTTATACTTAAATAAGTATCATCATCATCATGGATTACCTAATAATATGGGTTGATGATGGTGATAATAATAACTTATAAGTATAATATTAAATATGTCTAAAACGAACTTCCTTCAAGTTAAAGGTCAGTGAATCGGCAGTAGTCAATTCGAAATGCTTTCGGGGAGATCCCCTTTCTTCCGTCTCGCTCTACGCGTTTCATAAATCTTTTTTAGTTAATAGTCATACGCAAACTGATACTCGGTGAGGAAGGAAGCAGTTTGAAACATACTTTTCAAATAAACAATAATAGTTATTACGAGTACGTAGTAGTATTTATGTTTAGTATTTATTGTTTATGTACCTACTTAGATTTTTGAGATGTAGATTTTTTTTATATAGATAGCAGTGGTGTAGTATTTAACCATAATAATGTTTTGTTTTAGATATGACTTTCAAAATTGTACAAACTTTAGAAAGAGGAAAGTCAGTTTTATCTGCAGTGCCTGAAAAATGGGGAAAAAATGGTATCCTGTATTGGCCAAAAAGAAAAGAAGAGGATTAATTAAAGAATCCTTTTTCATGTCCCGAAGCATCTTGGTCATCTATACAATGTATCGTTAAAAGAAGCGGAATTAGCTCACTGGAAAATGCTGAGATAGAAATCACTCGAATGTTAGGCATAAGCGACACAGAAGAGGAACAAAATGAAGATTTAAAACAATGCGAACGTACTTCAATTGAAAATGTTGCCGTTCAAGAGTGTTTCAATGATTTAGCAAATAGTTGTGTTGTAAGTAAAATGTATTTATAAACTACAAATAGTACCTAATATGTGACGCTATCAGTCCTAATAGTGTTAATAAAACATGATTTTATTTTTATCCGATTTCAAAATAAAGAAGAAGGTTATTTATTCGAGGTTTAACTTTAAAATTCTCGTCCCAAAAAGCGCTTTAAAAAGAGTGAAAAGTAATTAAAAAAAAGGGATTTTGTGAAGTCAGTTTAATTAAAAAAAAAATATATTTTTCATTTGCTTTTTTTATAATCGATTTAACTTTTTATCAACAATTTTACCAATATAAGATTAATGTACTCACATTCATCGTGTTCGGTAGTGCATCCAAGACTGAACTCTAACAAAACGACGAAACGAATGCATGAATGAATGAATATCAATTTAAATATTTAGGAATTTTCTCATAACATATCGTGTTTTATTGTTACTTAATCATAAAAATTGATGCCTCAGCCGGGAAACGAATCTCGGACTTTCCGCAATACGAGCGGCTATCGTAACCACTAGCCTACTGAGATTTTATCATACTTAGGATTTTTTAATTGCTTTATAATTAAGTTACAATAAATGAAGCATTCTAAACGCTAAAATTTTTACAGTATATCGTGTTTTTGAAGAATTGTTAATGACTGACCCCATGTTAACACGGGCTTACTCGTACAGTACATATCAATTTTAGGATGTTGGCTGTTTTGATCCTACTGACTATATATGAGGGTATCATCGTGATTTTAAACTTTGTTTTTCAGAATGATGCTCAGTATCTACAACCATCCACGTCCAATCTGTCCGATCCTACAAATACTACAAATATTAATGATGTTGTTGTTTTTACTTCTAATCAAGAAATAGATCAAAACCAAGATACTGTTATTCTGAACACAGCTGAACTCAATTATCAAGATATTTCTCAAAAACTTGATAATTTATTACAAATAACAGAAATACTTCAAGAGAACTAGAAAGTTTTATTTGAATATGTACAAAGTATGGAGAGTAGATTATTAATGAAAGTGACACAATTTAGCACACAGCTTGATGATTATGTACAACGCAGCACAGAGATTAAAATTCAAGATGCAAACGCTTTTCAATCAATATCTCACAAAGAAGAACTTGACTCCTTTGAGGATCAGCTTAAAGATCCAACCAAGGTTGCAATATTGAAAAATAAACTGGCAGTAGTTTGTGGAAATGGAAAAGGACGAGGGAGCAACAATGCTTACGCATTAGTGGATGTAATGTTCACCAGAAAATTTATGACAACATGCTCTTGGGCTGGGGGCTCTAAAAAGTTAACGTCAAAAATTTGTTTCAAAATTTACACTCGAACCATTGATTTAAGATAGAATGTGAAAATTTCTTTAAAAATATTATGCGTCATGCCGAATCTAGAAATAAAATAAAGTTGTTGCGTGCTTCATCGAGCAAATCTAGACCCAAACTTAGGCCTAGGAGTAACATTATCGAAAAACAGGTACTTCAAGAAATTCAACAAAATGAACAATCTCTTGAGTTTAATAATGATCTCGATTCACAAGAAATGAATGAAAAATAGAGTAACGTTCTTTGGGAATTCCTAACATAATTCATGTTGATATTTTTTTGAGTATTTTTACTAATTAGTAAGTTACAAGTGCAAAAAAATGTTTTACGTTATGTTTAAATTTAGGTTAAGCTAAGGATAACATTCTAAAAAGATTGTGACCTAATTATTATGTTGATTTATAAATTATAAACTACTGTGTGTCTCCAAAATGCTAACACTTTTATTTATTTCTGATGAAGTTCTTTTTAGGGTTTCGTACCTAGAAGATAAAAACGGGATCCTATTATTAAGTCTCCGTTGTCTGTCTGTTAATTGATATTTCGATGAGTTTAGAATTTATATTTACTATTCCGATATAATCATAAGGCATGCCGAAAGATACCACAGCATGCCGCGGCATCCTAAAGAAATAATGTAAATATGAATTCTAAATTCACTGAAATATTAATAAAAAGAACTTCATTAGAAATAAAATCTTTTACCATGCCGTGCCAAGCAATAACAATTGAAACGGAAAAATAATAGTTGATTTTGTTTGCATTTCAACCGTTGTTATTTTAAGGATGCAATAATTACGTACATAATATACATAGTATCAATAATACTGTTATAGCAACTAATTAAAATAAATTAATATAAGTATTTACTGTTTCAAGCAAATTCATGGTTTTTCTGTACGCTACTCACTATATTATTGTATCCTTATAATAATAATGTACTTGTCGATGATGTTGTATAAGATTTTTAAGTACCCTTAATTAATTAAAGATAAGAGTACTTAAAAACACGATAGTATATACGCAATGTATGCGTAAATACTTTTTTTATTTTGCAATTTAATTTGATATACTGTGTAATTAAACTATTATCTTTCAAGTTAAATTCAAACGAATACCAAATTTATAGTTTATTTAAGTACAAATGATGCCAAATAAAAACCATTTAAGTATTAGCGATTTTTATTTATTATTAAAGCGTATGTAGTAGGGGAATGAAAAACATAGTAGAGTTATACGTAACGCTAACTAATTTGCATTTTATATCATTGACCGTATATAAACATTCATAATTGTTTTGTACATTGAAGTAACATTTTTTGTAAATGTTCAAAAATGAAGATTTTATTGGTGTTTCAAATACATCAGACAAATTTTTGAAGAAATTGCCACGAATTTCAATCTTTCCTTTGTTATTATTACATATGAATAAAATTTCGACAACATAGTCATTGGTAGTCAAAAACCATTTGTCTTGGCTCTGCGTTGACAAAACAAAATTATCTACAAACAATTTTGAGATGAATCCATTCTTACTTCTGCATTTGCGGATGAACGGTATTTTATTTTCATTGTTGTCATAACTGTTTAATTCGATATTATTCCGTTCTATAAGTCTTTTGGCAATTTGGCTAAGTGTCCGATTTCCATGTCTAACCAGTCTTTTGATATGGTAAAGTTTATTTTCGAACGCGTATGCATTAAAGTTTTGCAATATATCAAATCTCTTTACTTCATCGATGACATGTGTTAAATTATGAACATTACTATATACTGTTTACCATAATATCTACAGTAATTTTCAACAAAAGACTTAATTAAAGTTTCACCCAGTCGAAAAAATTTTAAATGTTTATCATTGGAGAAAATGGTAATAGCACAAAAAAATAACAAGAAATGATGATATGCATCATGACACAGTAAATCTCTTAATATAATAAAACTCAGGTAATACAAAAATGTACGAAATTCTGACGCCTTCCAATGAGCCAAAACATCAATAGTTCTAACAGACTTGTGTATTTCTCTTGGTAAGCGACAACTCGTCATAAACTGGGTGAATTTTGCAATATCTCTTGAACACCATTTTGTAACTTTTTTACCAAAATTACCGTCCCTCCAACCTGTGAGTAACCTTTTCATTATTCCTAAATCTATAAGGTGGAGAGAATCGCCAAGAGGAAAATCTTCTATCATATCAATTGGTAGTTCAAGTAAGGGAGAATCGTACTTATGATGCTGGCCATACATTTTGGCGCGAAAATCGTCATTATTGCGCCTGGTGCAATCAGTCTTAGGAAATATGACTGTATTAGACTGGTGTGAATACGCCAACCACAGTACACTTTAAACACCCATGTTTTCCATTGAAATTACATACTCCTGAAAATAAATTTCCAATATGTAGATAAACAGATAAGTCTTTAATTGTATAACAATAAGAAATAAATATGAAGAAACTAAAATGTACAAAGGACTATCTTTATGCTAGGTAGCGATATATGTAGTACGAGTATATGCATATCAGTGTGTAGGTACTATCTTATAATAGGAGTAAAAAAATAATTTACCTTTAATTAGTGCTCTTGCGGGAGCATCGTAGATAAAAGCTCTAATTGTAACCTTAACTAACAACTATTTTCCATATTTTGTTGTAACTTTCAAGCTGTTTCGCAAGAGTTCCTTCATTTCTGTTACAAAAGGTCTGAAATAACCTTCTAAATCTTGAGGTTTTCCTTTTCCTGAATAGATACCTACTGCAAATGGTGACAGGTAGGGTATTTCAAATATATTGCACAGTATAGACCAAACTTGCTCCCTAGAACTTTTATAAATTGGCAATCCATCAATGTTTATATTTAATGATATACTTTCTGGTATGATGATAAGAAGTTCTAAATATTTTTTAAGTTGTTCAGTTACACCATTGTGCCAATAAAAGCCCTTATCTAATGGAATTAATGATATTGTTTTAGTCTGAAGAAACGTTCTTGGATCTTTGGGAAGAATATGAGGTAATCTTCTGTTAATTATTTCGCAAACTTTTTTAACTGTGTCATGAGCAACATTACATGTGATTGCCCATTTTTTTAAATCTTGCCGGAATTGATCATCTTTATCAAATTCTTCAGAACTTTCGTCACTTGATTTCAAAGAGTTGTCTTCTTCAGAGAAATCGGAATAATTTAACACGTCTACAAAAAAATGCAATATAAACTTAAGAATAAATCTGTTAAAGGTAGTTTTGTTACTGTTGTGGCCATCGCTAATAGAATTAAATCAGTTTGTTGTTCTACAACCCCCGTTTTAATACACCTCACATGGCGCAGTAGGTAGTATATATTTAAAGTTGCAAATATTTCATATTGAGTATTTAAAGGTAAGATAGAAATGAAACTGAAAATATATAATTTTTATCTCTAGTTTACAATGATGAGGGTCTCTATTTCTGATTATCATAACAAGAAAAAGTGACAGTGCGATAGCAGCCGTATTATTACGTTATTTTTTAAATAATTTTCATTAATATCTGCGACCGGCTCTGATTTCGTGAGAAATTATATTTTCGATGGTTCTCTATTTTGTCTCATAAATTTTTTATCCATAATCTAACGTCTCATAATGTTTTGTGACATAACCATCATGTGTCCGAATGATAAGGAGCCCTAACTTCATATCTCATAATATCACTTGTCCGAAAATCGAAATCCCTAAATATAATATGACCTATTTTTTTTTTCATATAAATATCACAATCTATAATTTTTAAAATACATAACAGGCTTTTCTATAATAGTTGTAAGTCCTAACGTAATATCTCATAATATAACGTACCCTAAAATTGAAATTCCATAAATATAAAATTACCTAAATTGTTTAATCATTTTACCGTCACTTAGAATAACGCAAGCAAGCATGCATGGCTTCTGTCACGGCTCCGGCGCTGCGGGACCCCGGCGGTGCCACGCGAACTTATCGTCACAGATGGTTTTCGCCCACCACCGCAGCTTCGGCTTGCTGGCGGGCTTAGCCGGCCAGCCTCAGCCGCGGCTGCCGCGGTGGTCTTCAAAACCACCTGCTCCTCAGCTCGCGGGTCGCCTCGCCCCTCCGCGCCTACGCGGGCTTGAATTACACTCTAGGGGTAGGGCAGACAAGACTACGTGGTGTCGGTTTTACAGCGATATATTAATGTCACTAAATTTTAAAACGCAACGGTTGTTTAGGTTCACCAGATAACATTTTACTTAAATTTAAACAATCTGAGGAAGGTAGGTAGGTTTTTCATTAATAATATATTAAAGTATGGCATTGTGAATGCGAAATTGATAAAAATAATAATTAAAAAACTACCATGTTTTAGGATTAACAATATTATTATTAACCACTATTCGGTCAACATACATTATACAATAGAACACTTAGGACATGTGACTTTATACCAAGAGAAATTAGGATATCTTATTATTATAGCACCCGATCTTATGACACAAAAACATTAGAACTAAAGACGATTAGGTAATATACAATTTCGTATACGCAAACATTATGAAAGGCTATGATTATAGCAAACGTGTTATGGATTATGATTTTCGGACGATCGATATTCGGAGAATAAAGGGAATACCATTTTCGGTTCTATCTATTTTCAAGTATTTTCCTATCGATTTCGATTAATTAAAATTATTATCTCTCAATTAACACAATTTTCATTAATGTCCGCGACCGGGTTGAATGTCTCCCACTTCCCTTACCTTTCGAAGTAAAGTAAAATTAAAGTATGAGAAATAATAAAGAGCATTTTAGCACCCCTCAGCCGTTCAGTTACGATGGCCACAGTAACAAAACCCAAGATATCCTCATACATATAATATAACAGCAATAACTTACTTTCGCTATCTAGTATGCCTTGATAATCGGAACAAGTTTGATTTGTAGAACACCAGTCTTGACTGGATCCAGCATTTTCAGCATTCAATGTTGAAAAATGTAAGGAACCATTTCCATTTTTACCACTTTGTTCTTGACTGGGCACAGTTTCTTCTAGATTATATGTAGGTACCGTTTGTATATTTAGCAATAATAATTGATAATTTTTATTTACTCTTCTTCTAAAACCGCCGCTTCGTTTAATTCTTTTCCACTTTTTGAAATCTATATTATAATTAATGAAAAATGGCCACTGAGTTATATAAAAGGAGCTCATTATCATTTAGATGATCATTTGACTTATATAAGTTATATTAGAGTAATTTTCAAACTAAAAATTACTTAAAGGTAGAAATACAAGACCTAGTACGACGATTTTATAGTAGTTAACTATAAAACCATAAAATCACACTTTGTTATTTAAGTGTTGAATAAGAAATTTTAATAAATTTAAATTTACAAAACATGGCGACCTATTACTATTTTATGACTGAAACGTTTACTCTACTTAACGTTGTATGAGAGTCATGTAAATTGTTGAGTTGACGTTTACCAGGCTTATCAATATGACTAAAATTATATATAACTAAGGCGTTAAACTGAATACTGCTTTATGACTATTTAGTTGCTGCAAAACTGTTATAAAGCTCTAATATGTCTGTTAGTTGTATAATTCTATTTTTATACAACTTTTTTGCTAGTTGGGCGGAAAAGGAATAGAGAGCTGACACAAATTAGGACTACCCTCTTCGAACTGTGTGGTCTCTTTAGAGAGTTTTTAAACCGCATATAAAAATTACTGACGCGTTATTTATTTAAATATATAGAATGAAAATTATAGCCTATAACAATACCCGTATTGTCTTTTATTTCTTAATGGGAGATAAATTAAAAAAACCTTATCTTATAAAAAAAATATTTATTATTATTATATTTATCTATTTCATTCCAATATAAACCAATGCAGCTCTTGCTTTTCGGCTATCTTGAAGAGCTTGAGTTTAAGTAGGGGTCGTAACAGAAAAAGACAGAGACTGTCTGCTTCTTTCGACACGCAGTTCGTCTTCTGACAACTCAGGAACATCAATACCAGCCCTTATACAGATACTTTGTAATATACCACAGGCTATTATAATTTAACCTGCTGTATCTAGACAGTAATGAAGTTCCCGAGCAGCCAAAAGACATCGCCAGCGACCCTTAAATATGCCAAATGTGCGTTCTATGGTCGAGCGTGCACGCTTTTTTGATAAAATTGTACCTTCCTGCGGAAGAGTTCTCTATGGCATTTTCTATTGGTGTCATCATATACTCTCTTAAAGCAGAGCCAGATTCTCCTAAAATTATTAAATATTGAAATTACATTATTCATGTAAGTCATATTCTTATGAAATAACAATATTTTGGGTACTATACATCCAAACGTACCCAATAGATTTATGAATGCAAAAATTTGAATGAATAAATATCATCTGTCAATTACCATGCTGTCAGACAACTAAAAGCATGTTTTATTTATTAAAATATAATTATTAAATGGAAATGTGATATAATTTTCCATAGATTTGCTGATTCATTCTGAAGATTCTCTAAATGGTTTCATATATCACACTCTCTCCAAATAAAAGCATCATGAGTGGCTATACCATATGAAGCATCCCGATTTAAAATAACGCACATTGAAATTAAATTTTTAAAAAGTTCTTCAAGGTATGTTAATATAAGTAACAGAAGCCAAATATACGAATTTTGAAATTGTTGTGTCTGTATATCTGTTGTTCACCTTTGACATAAAAACTACGAACTACGGACGGATTATGTTGAGACTTTTTTGTTGTATAGATATAAGTCCTCGTGCAACTCCTTTGAAAATCTGAATATCTGATATAGAACCCTAAAAACCCAGCTGAACCATAGAAGATGCGAATAAAACGTCTCAGGAAAAGTTATGTATGTAATGAACATTTTTCACTGACCTATAGTAAAAATCAAAGATCTGGAACAAAGCTATGGATCTCTAGCCGCCAAACTAAACTTTAAGAGATACGTATCTAATGCCTTAGGAAAAGTTGTTTAGAATGATAAGCATTACTAATAACGAAAGACAATTTTATAAGTAAACTCTATTTGTAAAGTAGGGACCATTATTGTTTTCTTATTCTACTGTTTTTATTGTTACTTATTCTAATAAACCATGAAAACATATTAATAACATTAGCTGTTTTCTTGTGATTTCACCCACTTAAATCATAGCCTATGTCACCTTCGTATGATATAGCTTCCCGTAGGTGAAAGATTTTTCTTTTAAATCCATCGGTAGTTTTGGAACAAATCATCAAACCTTTCTCTTTTTAATATTAGTATAGATCAGGGGTCTCCGAACTTTGAAGCCTTCGGGTCATAATGATTTTTCAGTTTGTTCCAAGGGCCAAACCAGTTTCAATTTTTCTGCCCTTATCAATATTTCTAGACTAGAATAGTCGCAAAGTGCGCGACCTAAGCAAACTTACGCTTTTTTGCATTTCAATTATTTTTGTGTATTATGACACTATGTGTTGTACTATGTACTATCTATTTCAGCTACCTGCTAACAGGTGGCATTAGTCGTTATTAAATTACCTCATTAATTCGAGAAAGTTCTGGTTCTGGCTAGCTAGTGCATTCCGATCACTTACTAAGCACACTCGTCCAACCGAGGTATTATCTATCACATGCAGGTTAGTTAAATTTTTTCTGTGATGAATGGTGTCACCTAACCGAAGACACAGTGGTTCTAGAATATGTAAAAGGTTTTACCTTTCCTTTTGAAAAGGTAACAACTCAAACTGTTGTACCAAATACTCATAACTTTAATAACATTGAAATTGATCACTTAAAGCAGGCCGTATGGCCTGTATAAAAACTTTTAAATTGTGGGGCTATTGTAAAATGTCACTATGAACCTAGCAATTGTTGGAATTCCTTTCAAATATTTTTCTTACTTCCAAACCGAATTCAATAAATTCATAGCACCCCAACACTTTAAAAATTAAAAAGGAGGACATGCATACAGTGACAAAACTTATGTCAAAGAATTGTTACATGGCCACTGTCGATATCAAAGAGGCTTATTTTTTGATTCCTGCTCATAAAGATAGCAAAAAATATTTAAGTTTCTCAATTAAACTTATGAATTTAAGTGTCTTCCATTTGGGATATCACTGGCTCCTTTCATTTTTACTAAATTAATGAAACCCGTTGTAACTTACTAAAGAAAACAGGGTTTTACAATTTCAATATACTTTGATGATTTTATTTGCCTAGGATCTCACTATCAAGAATGCCTCTCATGTGTATTAAATACAGTAAAATTATTAGATAAATTAGGTTTTTTGAAAGAAAGAAAGAAAATTCGTTTATTGTTGAAACCACATAACATACACAACAACATTAAATAGGGCTGAATATAAATATTTTTAAAAACAGGTTGCTGCGAATGCTATGTGATGCCAACGCTGGACTTAGCTCAGTATAAGCAGCAGGCAGGACCCGCTGCACTGATATTCTGCAGAGACCAGCAATGACACCACGGAGCACAATATCTATATATTAATATAATATCCGTAATTGATAATAACACACAATAATCATAAATAAAAAAGGAAAGAAAACGTATATGACTACACTAACGTTAAGGCTGTGTGGAATTGATTCTGTATTCCTATCGTTTAGTAAGAATACATACATGTGGGATCGAGAATTAAACGATGGGACCGTTTTTAAATCGTTTACTGAATTCAAAATATAAGTTAAAAAAGAATATAAAAATTTGCACGGAGCGCACACACATCCCATTCGTCTCACACCCAATCTCTCTTCCTTTTTTTTTCGCTCGCACACCTCCCTTCTTCTTCTTTCCATCGTTCGCTCGGATACATCGTCTGCATAAACCTTTCATACGTTTGGATACACACCATCCATCCCACAATCGGCCATCCTGCATTATTGTCTGCCCCCAGACATTCGTTCAAAAAGGCATCGTGAACAACTACACATGTAATTACCAACAACAACATTACATCATAAATTATAAATATTACACGTTTCATGTTACATGTTTTTATATAACAACTTCAAAACAACAACTTATATAGATAAATACAACGTTTTACATACAACTTAGTCTTAATTATGTAATAAGAACAATATATTTTAATCAGGAGCAGTAACAGTATAGGGCTTCTAATAATAACACTTCCATACATCATCATTCATACACCTAAGACATAAACATAAATACTTACCAGCTCTCTACTATGATCTCACACATACTAGGTCGGCCAGGGCTTCATGTGGTCAGAAGAGCTTGAGGTTTTATTAGGTCCTTCTGCCATTGAGTCTACCTTCTCCACGTCAAATCTGTTGTTTCTCTTAACCTTGGTAACTGCATAAGGTCCCAAGAACTTTGGCTTGATTTTCATACCACTTCCAAACTGAGTGCGTTTTATAGCAACTAAATCTCCTTCTGAATACTGCCTACTTTCCTTCCTTTTCTTATTATAGTTTCGTGTATTTTCATCTTGAATTTCTTGTATTTGTAATTTAGCTTTCTTTCTTAGTTCGTCTCTGTAATGTACAAAGCTATTTTGTTCTTCTTGTAACAATAACTCATAAAGCTTGCAATCTTCTTTACTCATCATTTTTGTTCCCATGAGTAGTTCAAATGGAGAGGTATTAATACTTCTATGGTAGGTACTTTTAAATGCTTTTTGTACCTTACCAACATTTCTGTACCATTGTGTGGGTTTTTCTATACATGACTTGGTTAGAACTGAAATGATGGTTCTGTGAACCCGTTCCACTTGCCCATTTCCTCTTGGTAACCCCGTTGTGATCTTTATATGCTGTATCCCTTCATTTTCACAATATTGAGCAAAATCTTTACTTGTAAATGCTGTTCCACGATCCGAGATTATCCTTCTTGGATTTCCAAACGTCTGTTGATGAATTTCCAGCTTACTAAGTACTTCCTGTGTTGATGTGGACTTTGTAGGAAACAACCAGACAAATTTTGTGAATCCATCAATTAAAGTTAAAATATGGTTATATTGCTTACTTGTTTCTGTCATTGGTCCAATGTGATCTATGTGTAATGTGTGGAAAGGCACTTCGTCTTTCTCTATTGGATTCAAAAATCCCTCTTGCTTTCCTTCTTTCCTCGATGCCAATAGACATGGGATACATGAAGCAATACAATCTTCTATCTTCTTTTCCAACTTGTCTATAAAGTAATCTTTAGCAATT